ATTTTTTTTACTAATCTAATCCTTTATCCTTCACGGACGGCCTTATACATGGGGGGAGGTAGTTAACCGGGTACAAGGTATAAAAGTATATTAGTCTGCCGCGCTTTAGTAAATCTCAAAATCCCCGCTTGGACTCCCCTATTACTAGTAGAATGTTGTCGAAAGGAACCTGATGTACTGGTCCAAACTTCCTCTTCTAGTTTCCAAAATTCAAAAATTTCTCTAAAATAGGCGAAATATTTGTAACACATGAGACCGAAGCTAAGCTCAGTTGGCAAATCTCCTCATGTCTTCTTAATATTCTTAACAGAGCTACTAGTAGAAGCATTTGGTAACCATGGTCTGAAAAATCCCGGGACTTGAAAAGAAAATGCGTTTTTTTTGTTGAAAATTGGCTTCATTCATTAACATAATCTCCATCAAGAGTTACACAATCATTTCAGCGGGGCTAGAATGATTGGTATGATTCTACTTTTGTGAAACGATTTATCTTTTGCCTCAAAATAGGCCTCAGTTTCAGCAGTGGATGTTGATGCAATTTCAAGGTCATATCATGTAGTTTTGTCATTGTTTTGATTGACTTGTAACACGGTGCGTTGTCTTGATGAAACAAATTTTACCAGTGTGAAGGCAGCCATGGGTTTCAGCCACGAATTGGGAGAACTTACCATTAACGGAAAGGAGTGCGCCAAGCCACCATTGGTCGTTAAAATTCATTGCTAGCCATGAAAAGTTGTCTTTTATAACAATAATTTCATGGCCAGCCATGGAAATTTTCACACGAAACGATAGTTTTCAACGTTTTCAATAATACCTACATTTACGTTTTATCGCGGAAAAAACATTCCCTGTAACTCTACGATACCTATATGGTCCTCGATTTTGTCGCGGAAAAATACCCCTCCTTGCAACCCCTTCAATTATTTTGATAAAAAAAATTATATCTTTTGAAAAGTTTGTGCTGCTGGGGTTATTTTCACATAAAACGAAAGTATTCGACTTATTCTATGTTATCTATGTGGTCACAGGAAATGTTTTTTTTCCGCGACAAAATCGAGGACTGTAAAGAGTAGGAAGAGGTAGGAAGAGGATGGACAAATGCGCCGAGTGAGAGGCAAGGTCCAATAAACCTAGAGAGAGAGAGGCAGAGAAAGAACGCAGCTCTCCTAGCTTCTCTTCAGAAACTATTATTTTTCACCAGTGGTCGGTGATCAGGTATAGTGATGATGAAAGTATTTTTGCTGTATTCATTCAACGTCAGCTTTAAATTCTATCTTTCAAATTATAAAGTTCAACGTGTTCAAGTGTGATGAAATTCCAAATTATAGTGCACTTATAGTGCACTCAGTGCCTTTTTACTTTGAAAACGGACTATTGCACGGCAATAGTCCGTTTTCAAAGTAAAAAGGCAATATTGCATGGCAATATATCAGGTGGTTCTACTAGCAGCTCATGAGTATGTAGAGGTCATGAGGAGATTCGCCAACTGAACTTAGTTTCGGTCTCATGTGTTGATAAATATTTCACCTATTTTAGAAACGTTCTAGAATCTTGGAAACTAGGAGAAAAAGTATAACCCCTTGAAGTTGAACTGATCTCTTCACGTTGATTATTGACTATAGAATGTACTCACCCCACCATTCCAGCGGCTCCGAGTGCAAGAGATAACGGTAGATCTCCAAGTTTGGGGACTAGAGTCGGTGCTCTTCCTCTACCAGTCATACCCAAAATGTTTCCAGTGGCGATGGTGTGAGTTCTCCATCCGAATTGACCTATGACGTATTGGCCCACAGGGTATTTGGGGTTTTTACTATCGATGATCCTTCGAAGAAGTTGATATGATGAATATTTAAAAAGCCCCAATATTATACAGCGTGACTCACGGTCGATGGTAGGTTAGACGTTTCTGGAAAACGCAAAGCATGATTTTTCTGAAATTGCACCTCTCACATTTCCTTACCTGTTCTATCGATATAAAATATTTTCAGCATTGCGGCGTTGCCACTTCCATCAAAAAAACCTAGCAACTTTATTTTTTTAAATGGAACACCCCGTATATTAATACATTTTTGGAATCGCTCTGGTATTTCAATACCTATCTTGTTAATAATGTCCTATACCTATCTCTATCTGTTTTCGAGATGAAAAATAAATTGTGCTAAATATGGTCCAAAACAGCCTCAATTGAAATTAAGTACCTACATCAGTACTCTCAATTCATGAAAAGTTGATATTTCGATGATAGTTTGGACAAACTCGAAATATTCAAATAACACCAAGAAATCGACATACAGGGCGTGCTAAAATTACTAGTATTTCCATTGTGCATAAAATTACTCGAAACTTCATTTTTTCAAATGAAACCCCATGTATATTACTCGATGAATTGAAAGATGGTTAAAAATGCTTCAAGATGATATACATATCTATCAGAAAAAGGTTTCTACACAGTATTTTTTTACTTATATTTTAACATGTGTATGTTTGTTTTACAATGTGTGTCACATTATTTTTTATTCAAATGGCATCTTATAATATTACACATTTATATTATACCTGAGAAATATGATCTGCCCCATCTACATAATGTAGCACAAAGGACTAATAAATCTATCTATCTATCTACTGGACATATTGAAAATAACACAGATGATAAAACTTAGTCCTGTCTGTTTTCATATATTGTTGTGGTGTTTTGTGCTTCCCGCGAGTGAAAGTAAATTATTTTACTCAGTTCCTGATATATAATCCCTGTAGGAAAGTTCCTTCACTTGTGCACCTCCACGGAGGGAACCCCAAGAAGGTTGAAGAAACAGCGCAACGACAGTTATATGGCTGCACCTTCCAAAACCTTCGCGGTCACCGTGATACACCACAAGGTTGCCATAGAGAGTGTGTGTTCGGTGAGTCTTGGCCTACACCTGCCAGTATAAAGGAGATGCCTCCTAGTGACCTGTACACCTTCCAGGACAGGACAGGATGGACGATGACCTAGGAGGACAACTCCTCGGGAGGATGTACAATGGGTCACATGTGGCCTAAGTACTGTGAGCCTACACTCACCCTCCTACTCTTCAGATACCAGAATATGGTAAACCCATTAAAAAACACTACTCTGGAAAACTCTCAATTGAATAACTCGACACACAAAAAATCCCACAAGAATAAACATAACCTATGTTTAACATTCAGTTATTCTGAAAAGGGAAGATAAAAAGAAATATTTTGATTTTACCTCAAATCAGTTAGCCAAATAAAACGCGACAAACTCCCAAATACCAATATCACTTTTCAAAACAGTGTCTTGAAATATTTTAATATTTCAACTCACACAAAGCTTCCTCAAGAATTTTCAATCTTTGTGGGAACTTCAACTGAACTAGACAATTCTCCGCTCACGACTCCCTTTACCTCAATTCAACTAAACCGCGAATATTTATCAATCCCGAAACAATCGCAAAACGGTGCTCTGAACTGTCTCGTATTTAAGTACCTCTGGAATTCACTCAGAACTTCGTAGGAAGTCCAACCGACCTACTTCTAAGTTAGTACGCTCCTGACTTTTTACTTCAAGTCAGCTAACCAAATAAACCGCGAATATTAATCACTACTGAAACCCCCTCGCGACCTAGTGTCTTAAAACACCTAGCAACTCAGTCCCTTCAATAGCTTTTCCAGCAACCTCCCCAAAGGGGCCAACCGCCCCGGTTACGAGCCCCCAAACGACCCTGGGGACCGCGCACGACTGCCTTAATTCTTTCTCAAAAATTTCCAAACTTAACTCTGTTAGGGGATGTAATTCAAATAATCTCAAAAATTTCCACCAATTAGAAAGTCTGAAATTATTTCCAAACCCGGTACTCTTAACGTGTCCAGCGAATAAGTTCGCAAGAATTCCCGACTGTTGCCCGACATTTATAATGTCGTGAGCCTGCTACTGATATATAGATGTCACTGCAAGGGTTATTTTGATATTTTCTCTGTCTCCAATAAGAGGTATGTAGACTATTCCAGACATTAATTTTATCATGTTAAAATCAAAACTGAACAATCATAAAAATGAATTTCGATATTTATTATACTTTTAAGTACTTCTTGACAGTTATTCTAAATAGGGTACGACAGTTATTCTAAATGGGGTACACAGACTGAATAATATATTTTCGACCCTTAACGTCATGATAATGAAATGAATGATGAGGTTGAATGTTTAAAAATATCAGATTTCTTAAACATCGAGCAGTTAATTTTAACGACTTTTCTCTTTTGTTTGGCTTGGCTCTGGTTGACCTAAAATTATTTCTGAAAGCTGATGAAGGTTCCCTTTTTCAACAGAAACCCATCTGTTTTGGTAATCAATAGTTAAGGAAAAATAATATACCTAATTATTATTATACCTACAATTTGAACAATCGAAATTGCTTTGCGCAACCAAAGTGATCCTTTTTTTGGGTCCGATCGTCACGTGTGATAAAAAGTGGATCCACTACAACAGGAGACTTTCAGAACAGTGGTTGGACAGCGATGACCCACTCAGGCAGTTCCTGAAGACGAAAACCTATCAAAAACCACCGTGGTTACTGTTTGGTGGTCAGCGGCTGGAGTGATTCACTATAGCTTTCTGCAACTGGCCCAAACCGAAAATTTCGTCAGCAGCAGCCGGCTTTGGTCTACAGAAGAGATCTGACCCTGCTTCACAACAACAACCGCCCGCATGTTTCACAGATCACCGTCATAGTGCTGCCTCGCCTACCATTTACTCCCCAGATCTCTCGTCAACCGACTACAATCTTTTCAAGCACATCGATAACTTTCCCACCGGTAGAACCTTCATCAATCAGGACCAGGCAAAAACGGCTTTCGTCGACTCTATCGAATTCCGTGCAACCAATTTTTATGCTGGCAAAAGTACACTGATTCAAATGGCGTTTATCTAGATTAAATTGAATGAGTGTTCACTGAGATATCATTTAAAGTAGATTCATAATAACGGACAACACTTTTGAAACTACCTAATATTTTATTTTGTTTTGTTAGATGAATTTCAAAATAACCTCCATTAAATGTGTAACATAAATTTCGTCATTTTCAGATCCACAGATTGATGTTGGAAGACTCTGAGAGAAACAAATCCTATCGAAATGCGATTTTAAACAATAAAGATGAGTTCTGCGGTAAAGTTGTTTTAGACGTTGGTGCCGGTTCTGGAATTTTGTCAGTTTTTTGCGCACAGGCAGGAGCTAAGACTGTTTATGCAGTTGAGGCTAGCAACGTTTATAAAATTGCAGAGGAAGTTGTCAAAGAAAATAGTTTCGAGAATGTTATTAAAGTATGTTGAGTAAGTAAACTATTGTCAAAACAATTCAATATTTAGATATAGATGTTTCAAGAAAAGGTGATATAATTTGAAAAAGGATAACTTAAAAATTTTATGAGAAACAAATCTAAGTGCAAAGGTCCGAGGGAATTTTTCGGGCTGCTGTTTACTCCAATTGATAATTCCTAGAAGAGCATAATTTTAGTAAGATTCACACATGCAGGTTATCTCTTTCATTCAAAGCGTATAATTATTCATGTAGCTATAGTTGCTGTTTTAACCTTCCAGCGGTCGCGCGTATGTGGTAGATACGCGAGTAATGGATTTAGTACAATAACTATCTATCTATACGCGCGACTGTTTCGGTAAGTTTTTGTCACATCTGCTTCTTTCTTTATCGTTAAATTATTCTTGTTGTATTATTGATAAGATATTACTGTTTCATGCATTTTTTGTGTTGAAAACTGTCTACGTTAATATGAGAGCTCTGTATCTCTCATATACACGCGATCGCTCGTGGCAACTAATTCCATTTTGTTTATAAGAAGCAGATTTTTAATCTCAATGGTCCCACGGATATTGAAGATGTTACAAATTTGATCTTTGCTGACACGGATGACGATTTAGTTATAGATGATAGCGATACAGATGAAGAGGAACATGTTTCGGAACGTGATAACGAGTCCGAATTGAGCGGTGAAAGCAATGCCGAAGACGAAGCAGACAGTTCCAACGAGGCTTATATAGCTCACCTAAAGAAAAATGTAAAAGTTTTCGACTCATGGATTTGGCAAAAAACCCAAACAAAAATATTAAGCGACCACCTCGTAATATATTACTTCATCTCCCTGGGGTTATTGGATCAGCTAAGAATCTCACGGACATTTTTGATATTTGGAAGTGCCTTATAACTGATCCTATGATTGAGAGCATCGTGAACTTCACAAATAAGTATATAAGTCCTGCAATACCTAATTATTCTCGTCCAAGAGATGTCAGAGATACAGACAAAATAGAAATAACAGCCCTTTTGGGTTTGCTTTATTTGGCGGGCATCTACCATGGTAATCAAGTTAACCTTGAAGAACTATGGAGAATGGATGATTTCAAAACAGTCATGAGTTTGAGAAGATTTCTTTTTTTAATGAGAGCATTACGTTTTGACGGCATATATACGAAAATAGAACGAAAAAGAATAGATCGCTTGGCTCCGATAGGGATATTTTCGAAAAGTTTGTGACTAATTGCCAAAAATGCTACTCGTTTGGGCAAAATGTTACAATAGACGAAAAACTAGAGGCATTTCGTGAAAGGTGCTCCTTTATCCAATACATCCCCAAAAAACCCAATAAATATGGCATCAAAATTTATGCCACTTATAACATGGAAATATACGCAGGAACTCAACCATATGGCCTATTCTCCATATTAAATACGGGGAGAACACAGACCACTGACAACTGCTTTTCGGATTTTGATTTGATAAAAGACCTTGATGAGAAAAAAAATCCCTTTGTAGGAACGCTGAAAAAAATAAATTCCAATGAATTTAAATTCACAAAAAAGCGTGAACCCAATACCAGTATTTTTGTTTTGAGGAAGGACATGACTCTTGTTTCTTACGTGCCTAAGCGCTACAAAAATGTTATATTAGTTTCAAGACTACATGATGACTCAGATACAGGTGACCGAGAGAAACCCGAGATTATAACATTCTATAACCACACGAAAGGAGGTATAGATACAGTAGACAAGCTTTGTGCTTCTTACATGTTGTCAGAAACACCAGACGATGGCCGTTAGTAGTATATATTTCAATCTTGAATGTAGCCGCGATCAATAGTTACATAATCTATTCCACCAATAATAAAGAAAAGATACTTAGAAGAAAATACTTTCGTCTACTTTCAAATGTTCTTGTGAAAAGAAACGTCAAACGAAGAATACAATACTACCTGCAAAACGAGCTCAAAGAAAAAATTTCATAAAAAAGCAGTACTAGGTATCGACAGTAGATGCGGCAACAGCAAGTAAAAGAAGATGTAAACCTTGTCAAAATGATAAACGTACAAAGGTTCGTTCCAACCTTGAGTCACAAACAGATTTCCAACTGTTTGTAAATCGTTGTCAACGCGCATGTCTGGTAAATATTGGTTTCTGATTAGTTTGAAATTTCTGATTGGAACAGCTGATAGTTCAACTGAAGTTTGGCATGGAATTTCAACATAACCTTTAAAAATAATTTGGGAAAGAAAGTTTTTGGACGCGCCTGCTGGAAGGTTAACAAAATCTAACCAAGAAAACACGAGAAATTGGATACAGCATACCTATTAACATTCTTTTAAAAAATCTTTGCATACCTATTAACATTCTTTTAAAAAATCTTTGTTTCCTCCAATTCCATATGTCATAAGAATTGCGATAAAATTAACAAAAGGTTTTGGATATATGAAAGATTCATTCAAATAATAAAATTCAATTGAAACATTCAAATAAACGTGATTTGCTTGTTTTTTTGAAATACTGTTGATTTTTGATACGGAGCAATTTATATTCCTTTACTTATTTTAGGTCATTCATTGCAAGGTGGAACAACTTGATTTACCAGAAAAAGTTGACATTATAGTGTCCGAATGGATGGGGTTCTACCTACTTCATGAAGCTATGTTGGATTCTGTCATTGTAGCTAGAGATAAATTCCTCAAACAAGATGGTCTCATGTTTCCTGAATCGGCTACACTGTACTCAGCACCTTGCAGGTGAAAAAAATATCAATAGTACAGATTAGAGTTCTAACAAGAAACAGTAATTTCACATAAGTTGAAATGTGATCAACAAATCTTGGTGACCTTCACGAAGATGCCATTTATGATATTGATAAAAACTCAAACCAAGTTTATCAAGGGTAAAGAGATATATGAGGTTAAAAAAATTGAATGGATACAACAAAAACACTAAAACTAATAATAATGCAACGTAAATACGACTCAAATGAAAGTCAAGTCTTCTACAAGTTTATGTTCCGAAGATATTCAGCAAATTAACTGACAGTGTTATGACTAACTCAATTGCAAATTAATATGAAATTGCGAAGATGTCTGTTCGAAATTCACTCATTGCAGGATACATGTGGAGTAGTTGGCTTCCTATGTGTTGAATAATCCATACGTCTACATGTAGCCAATAAAAATTTTTACCAACTTACACAAAATGACTGTGTAATTCAACTCTTTAAATATGACCTATATAACAATATATAGAAACTACTCACTCACGTTAAGAACACAGGAAGTATGTAGAAAAACATGAAGGCAACCAATAAATAACAACTATACCGTTTTCCAACAGGGACTTAACGAACTTTGACAATTGATTACGGCCATCTTGTTGAAGCTACATCTGTCAAAATAGTTGTCATTTGTTCAGTCTGTTTTGGGAAATCACTAGGGACGGAAATGCCATTTAACAATACGTACAAATAATGAAATTGTTTAATCAACGTCGACAATACGCAAGATCTGACGAAAACATCGCCGCAGTCTGTGAGAGTGCAAAAGAATCCGAGGCAGTCGATTTGGCGTCGCTCACTAAAACGACGTGTGTTCGCTGAATGGGATCTGGAGCAGTTGGCAACTAACCCCAAGTTTTAATCAAAAAATTGTTTGAGCGCTGAGGCCCATTTCTGGATGAATGGTTACTTGAACAAACAAAATTGTCGAATTTGGTACAATACCAATCCACATAAGATCCAAGAATGTCCAATGCGTTCCGAAAAAGTCCCTGTTTGGTGTAGATTATGGGCTGGCGGCGTTATCGGTCATATTTCTTTGAGAACGTTGGCCAAGCCATCACTGTCAACGGCGAGCGCTATAGCTCGATGATTACCAACTCCTTTTGGTCTGAATTGGATGACCTGGACACCAACGACATGTGGTTTCAACAGAACAGGGCTACGTGCAACACATCTCATGTCACATTAGATATTCTGCACGAGCGATTTTGGGATCATGGTCATCTCATGTGGAGGTGATATGAACTGGCCTCCGAGATCGGGCGATTTGACCCTGTTTGACTTTTTCTTGTGAGGTTTTCTTAAGTCGCATGTTATGCGAATAAGCCACAAATCACAGTCGTCAAAGCCAACATAATCCATGTCATCGGTAAAATTCAACCTGATTTGTGCGCCAGAGAAGCAGTGGCTGCCATTTGAACGACTTAACATTTCACTGAAAATGATTGGTTGATATATAACTTATCTGCCTCTACTATTGTTGGGTAGTAAGTGGACTGTAGATTGTGTGGTTTTTATAGAAACATATAGTTAAATTTTTACAAGATTTCTGGATGAATACATCAAATAGATAAATCGAGTTTTTACTGCCTTTCCTTTTATATATCATGCGACACAACACACTGACTGTTTTTCTCTCAGAGTAACAAAAGACAATAAGGAGGCCTTTTCCATCCTTACATTGAAAGCAGCATCATTAAAACTTCGTTCTTGAAATTCTTCGTCATGAACAACACTTGTAAAATGATGATGTAATATTCAAACAAGAACTTGCAGAAGATTCATCTTCATTACATTCCTCATAGTATATTCCATTAACCGCTTCGAACACTTTTTCGAAAACCTCTTGGTTCTTTTCAAAATCATCACTCGCTTTCATTTTAATAAAAGAGAATTCATATAAATTAATTATTCACGATGAAATTCTCACGAAAATTACGAAACTGAAAAAGATATTTGTGGCGATGAAATAGAAAACGCAGAAACAAAAAGCTTACTTCAGAAAAGGTTACTTTGATCAGCTGCGTTGCAGCCCAATCACAGACTCGACAAAGAAAACGCAGAAACAAAAAGCTTACTTCAGAAAAGGTTACTTTGATCAGCTGCGTTGCAGCCCAATCACAGACTCGACAACTGAAGCTACCGCCACTCTACAAAGAGAATAAACATGACAGATTGAAGGAATGACGTCACAGATACCCAGACCAATGATATCAAGACCTTACAACACACTGAAGGCGTGTACATAAGAGTAATACACTGCAAAACTTTAAACGTGTTTTCCTCAAAAAGTGGTTTTCTTATACTATGTACCTTTTTCCGGCGAACGCCACATTTATTTAAAACAATGATACAATTTTTATGAAATGGTCAGTTTTGTCTTTTCAAGAACAATATGTCAACTAATGGTAACATATATTCTAAACTTATTTTATACATCAAAAAGGTAATAGAAAGATTATGAAAGTATCTGAAAAATTCATTCAAACTCACTTCTTTTGGTCTTGAGTATTTTATTGATTCATGATAATACAATGCATATCAGATTTAAAATTCATACCAATAATATATATGACAATACATTACATTAAATGTAAAGGAATATATTTTTACACAAAATAATGAAATAAACTGGAAATTGCAATAACCCAACTTCAATAGAGAAAAGAGTACATTGAATGTGAGAGTTTTCTGACTAAAACTTCGATGGATTTTTATCAATACTTTTTTTATTTTGTGAAAGATTTTTTACGACCCTTAAAAAACATTTGTCCATATACTTTACCCGACTCCACGGTTCATTTTCTTCCAAGTTCTACATATTTTATAGTAATATTCAATGTTTAGGTTCAAAAAGACTAATAAAGAATAAATAAAATTTAGGTCATTTTTATGTGACACATGAGGTATTGAATAATATTCTCCATATATCTGATTTTGAGTCTGAAGAAAGTGTTACAGACATGAAACATGAAATGGAAAAAAGAATCTAACATTACTTGTATTTCACAATTGTGTCTCTAATAGAATCGAAACCCACACAAGCAACAAGGTACAGGTTATAATCCATAGTGAAGTACTGAGAGTGCAGACATAAAATGAAGTTTAGATAATGAAGAATATGGGTCGAAAATAAAAAATGATAACAGAAAACAAATATTTCATAAACTTTTGTTTCTCAACGAAGTTGAGGTTCCTATAATTTGTTGCCTAAAGGTAGGGCATTTTTAGGCAAGATATTGCTATTAATCACTAAGTGTGATACTCAAATAAATATAAGATTCAAATAAATGAATGTTCAAAAAATTCATTTTCAATAGCTTCTTGCTACTTGAGAAGTTTCAATCTTTACATAGAAATACTTCTTTCAATTTTTTTTTCAGGAATATGTCTTTGGTTTACTTGCAATTTTCCAAGTAAATTTTCGGAACCGGTGATTTTATCTACCGAACCAGAATCGCCACCCAGTCATTGGAAACAAACAACAATAGTGTTACCTACCAACATCCAGGTAGAAGAATCAACCCCAATGGCATATGATTTATTGTTAAGAAGATCTTCAGTTGACAAAAGGAAGTACACCATCGAGGTCACCATGCTGGATCCTTCGGAAGTTGAACACCCGGAGTATTGTCTTTGCCACTTGACAAAGTGTATTTTAGTAAGAGCCATGTTAGAGAAGTACGAGAAAGATGATATGGAACGTTCTGAGAATAAATGAATTGAATTTTTTCAGCTGATTTCAATATTTGAGAAAGCTAAATCAGAATAACTTTGTTATTCTGATTTAGCTTTCTCTCTTTCAAGAAATTATTTCGAGAAAAAACTAGTCATACAAATGTTCAAAATGTCAATTTTAAATACTTTGAATAAATTTCTTTTTATACTGGTCTTGATTTGACAATATTTTCAGTCCATATGAAATGATGGAAAGCCCTTCATTTCTCAAACCCTATAAGTGTAAGTCTTCCTCCAGCCTATGGGGACTTGCTGAAACCATTCGAATCCAGTGTCATCTATTGAAGCAAAACATTTGATCAAATCTCCTTCTGCCAACCATATTCATTTATTTATTCATTTGCCACTGTGGTACAGTATATACATATGGTATGTCAATAACTCAAAACATATATAGAATATAATAACAGTGTGATATGAATAAAATAGGTAGGTATTTATCATATATGTATATATAAAAGTCGTGTATATAAATTCCCCAGTAAAAATATAGAACAGGCGTCAAAGATAAAACTAAATAAAGTACGTACTGTATTCAGAGTACGATAAAAATCCAAGTTAATAGTTCTTACAGCATAACAATACACACTGTCCCACAACTCAAACGCGTTGTTGGTTAGGAAGAACATTCCTTAAGGGAGAGTAGTAATAAAATAAAAAAAACACTCTCAAGGTAGTGCACAAGTTGAGAATACCCACGGATAGTGATGACTGGTACAACAGCAGAGATTCAAAGTTAGAGTACGAGTGTGCTGAGAGACACTACGGGTCTGCTTTGATCAATATCGGAGAAGCCCAATGGTCAGACATGAAAGTAGTCTGGTACAGTGAATGTGGGACTTTTGGAAGGACTACTTGCTTTATGGCCCATAGTCTCCAAGCTAGTGGGGAGTTTTGGGTGAGTTCTCAGATCACAGGTTTCATGGCATAGGCAATAAGTTGACAGGTAATGGACACTATGGGAGATCTGTGGTAAGAGTTGACTGATCTTCGACGCCACACTAACTAATGTGCACATTGAAAGGATATACAGATATTATGGAATAGTCACATAGGATTGTCGGCCACAGCAGGCAAAAATATAAGTTTTTGTCTACTGTAGTATCAACGAGTGTGCTCGTCTAAAATGTTAAGGCAGGTCAAAGAAGTCAAGCTGCTGGAAAATAATTCCATGAAAATGAAAAGATAAATAGATGAGTACTTCTCCGATCATTCACCCAATACGTGGTTCCACATATCTCTTACTTGCTTTGACGCAGTGCTTTTTATGAAGTACTTGTCTTGGTTTTTCACAGTCTGTCTTCAATCTAGGACCTGTTAGAGTAGATCAAAATCAGGTTTTCACAAAAATGAAAATAACATAATGATAAAGAAATTACAACTGGTTCATTATCGAAATAACAAACTACTTTCAGTTGTAGTGATGTTTGAATTTGTAACATGACTACCATCATCTGCTTCTTTCATATCAAAAGCATTTATTAATATATTCAAAACCATTAGTATGACATTGATACACAAAACAACATTATTTGCTTTGTTAGCATTATCCTGATGATCTTCTTTGTTGAGATTCAAACTGGAACCTAGAAGTATGCAGATGCATCCTTGAACCACCTTTTAAACAAAAAGAAAAACAAAAAAAATAAAAATTGGTAAACAAAAAAAAATTAAGTAAAACATAACTATTTGATAACTGAAATAACGGTTTTTATCAGTGCCGTATTTTGCCAAATTTGTTTAATAAGACATTCATTCTGTGAATTGGCAAAGTACATGCACAGTTAAAAAAAATCAAACTAAAGAGCTTTTTGAACCCCCCGAATCAATCAAGAAATCACATGTCATATATCATCCAAGTATTGTATTGTTTATATGTATTGCTGGATCCAGTCCAAAGTTCATTTTGATGACTTCACAAAATAAGGTACCAGTGACGAACCCTAACGATATTTGATTCAACAACCATGACAGTGTTTCTAGTTTTTCATCTTCATAACCTCTAAGAATTCCAACTATTATCGACAATAAAGCTGCAGTAACCTACAGAAGAAAAGTATCAACTGTAGTTTCTTATCATTGTTAAGAGTACCTGAACAGTTATTGAACACCTTTTAATATTTTGATTTTCACCCAGCTTAAATCAATTCAAGGCAGTCATGAACATTTAAAAATAGTGGAAGCACGAAAATATTGTTATAACTAGCATTTTTCCCAATCACCAGAAATGCAGTAATTTTCTTGACTCACCTTTCACCAGCCAAAATGTAGATCAAAAAACAATTCCTAATTTCTCTCGAAAGTTCCCCTAGATTTTAAGAGAGTGCATATCGAAAATTTACGAGGATTTTTTTATGCTTTTGAATGGCTTGATATAAAGTATGGCATGAGAACTATGAACAGTGACAAAAGTCACATTCGAAACAGCCTATTGTATTCTTTTTTATGAATCATTCTGTTGAAATTTGGGGAAACTTTCACGAGATAATGTCCTGCAAATTTTTAACCAAAACCATTGATGTGAATCAGAAAGGGGAGGTGTAGAATCTATGATGACTCGTTTTACTTTTTGATCAAATGACATGTTATCGCTTTCACTTTCTCAGCCTTGATTAGGGACAGTTGATTCCAGTAATGCATTCGTTGTTCAGCCTATCATTTCTGATGAGGTCTGAGGCGGGTTGAAACAACGCTGTCTGGTGTAAGATCGCCAATACTTTGATTTTTGTGCTCCGTTTCCAACATGTAGATATGTTTAACTAAAAGCATCGTCTAGCCTCTTATTTTATTGGAATGAAATCGGCGGATTCGCTTCAACTCAATTATGTATCATTATGCAAGTAAAAAATCATACGATTACTCTTTTTCAACATTTGTTCTGCAAAAGTTTCGATATTCAGGTAATGACCAGTTCGGAAAATCAACACCCCTTGTTTACTTCATATCAAGTGATTTATTTTGTAAAATAAAATTGATNAAGATGAAAAATATTTTTTCGTCCCCAGAATTATTTTCAACAAAAGTTGTAAAACTTTCCTTTGTAGAAATCAGATCTTCAATCTACGCATGTGTTCCTCAATATATTTCAATGTAATAATTTAACATATATGTCGATATTCGATAATGAAGTACAGGAACATATTTCTTCAGTTTTTCTTATCTAAATAAAATATTCACCAAACAATATTAACTATTGAGTCTACCTGAAATTTTTTCGGGGGTTTCTATAAGCATTAATGGTTGACTTGCGTATTCTAAACCAAAACCAGAAATAATAATATTAATGATCGAAATTATAAAAATGAACATAAGTATTATGTCGTTCAGAATAATGGCTGCTTTGTAGTCTCTCTGCTTATTTATATTCAGTCCTCCTATTATAATAAAAAGTATAGCCACTACAAGCTGAAAAATATAAAGAATATATGTTACTATATAGTAATGTTACGTTATTTTGTAATTTCAAAATGTTGAATAACAAAATATATTCTTATTACTTATTATTGATCTCATTATTAGAAATAGAATACTATAAAAAAATTAAATATATCATTTCTCAACTAGTGCAAAGTGAATACCGTTATCAACGTTATTAAGCATATCATTTCTCAACTAGTTCAAAGTAAATAACGTTATAGGGAATAATGAATGACGTAGAGATAGAATTAGAAGTTTTAGACTTCTGAATTCGAAATTGCCTTCAATTAATTAACACATTCCTTCATTTTATAGACTATTTTCTGGTCTCTTTTTGCCTGCTCTGCAAATAAAAACAATTTAAATTCCGTTGAGAGAGTTTGAAATGTCAGGGGGTTCAAAAACTGTGTATCTGGCGATGGTGGGGTCAAAACAGGAAATGATGAGATTTAAAACTGTAATAATGAAAGCCAAAATAGTTGTAAGGTGATTAAGGGAATTTGCTGTGGCGTGATGAGTTTCCAAATGTAATCTGCAGTCCCTCAACATGTGTAAAGTGAGGCAGAGGATTCCAACTAACACCTGTAGGTACAAAATATTTTGATC